TCAAAGATCTAAACAATACACAAAATAACCATTTCTCTCAAATATTGTTCACAAATCTGAAAAAATCTGTGATAGTGAGCACTTCTCCTTTGCCGAGATAATCCATCCCACCTCACAGGTGTGGCATATCAAGATGCGATTAGGACAGCATGATTATTGCACAGGTGTGCTTTAGGCTGGGCCACAATAAAAGGGCACTCTGAAATGTTCAGTTTTATCACACAGCACAATGCCACAGATGTCGCAAGTTTTGAGGGAGCGTGTAATTGGCATGCTGACAGCAGGAATGTCCACCAGAGCTGTTGCCCGTGAATTGAATGTTCATTTCTCTACCATAAGCCGTCTCCAAAGGCGTTTCAGAGAATTTGGCAGTACATCCAACCGGCCTCATAACCGCAGACCACGTGTAACCACACCAGCCCAGGACCTCCACATCCAGCATGTTCACCTCCAAGATCGTCTGAGACCAGCCACTCGAGACAGCTGCTGCAACAAATCGGTTTGCATAAACCAAAGAATTTCCTGCACAAACTGTCAGAAAAACCGTCTCAGGGAAGCTCATCTGCATGCTCGTCGTCCTCATCGGGGTCTCGACCTGACTCCGGTTCGTCGTCGTAACCGACTTGAGTGGGCAACTGCTCACATTCGATGGCGTCTGGCACGTTGGAGAGGTGTTCTCTTCACGGATGAATCCCGGTTTTCACTGTTCAGGGCAGATGGCAGACAGCGTGTGTGGCGTTGTGTGGGTGAGCGGTTTTCTGATGTCAATGTTGTCAATCGAGTGGCCCATGGTGGTGGTGGGGTTATGGTATGGGCAGGCGTATGTTATGGACGACGAACACAGGTGCATTTTATTGATGGCATTGTGAATGCACAGAGATACCGTGACGAGATCCTGAGGCCCATTGTTGTGCCATTCATCCACGACCATCACCTCATGTTGCAGCATGATAATGCTGCCCCATGTTGCAAGGATCTGTACACAATTCCTGGAGGCTGAAAACATCCCCATGTTGCTCAATGGGTTGAAATGTTTTCAGCCTCCAGGAATTATGTACAGATCCTTGCAACTGGGATGTTTCAGCCTCCAGGAATTGTGTACAGATCCTTGCAACATGGGGCAAGGATCTGAAAACATCCCCATGTTGCAAGGATCTGTACACAATTCCTGGAGGCTGAAAACAATCCCAGTTCTTGCATGGCCAGCATACTCACCGGACATTTCACCCATTGAGCATGTTTGGGATGCTCTGGATCGGCGTATACGACAGCGTGTTCCAGTTCCTGCCAATATCCAGCAACTTGGCACAGCCATTGAAGAGGAGTGGACCAACATTCCACAGGCCACAATCAACAACCTGATCAACTCTATGCGAAGGAGATGTGTTGCACTGCGTGAGACAAATGGTGGTCACACCAGATACTGACTGGTTTTCGGACCCCCCCAGACCCCCCCAATAAAGCAAAACTGCACGTTTCAGAGTGGCCTTTTATTGTGGCCAGCCTAAGGCACACCTGTGCAATAATCATGCTGTCTAATCAGCATCTTGATATGCCACACCTGTGAGGTGGGATGGATTATCTCGGCAAAGGAGAAGTGCTTCACTATCACAGATCTTTTCAGATTTGTGAACAATATTTGAGAGAAATGGTTATTTTGTGTATATAGAAAATGTTTTAGATCTTTGAGTTCATCTCATGAAAAACGGGAGCAAAAACAAAAGTGTTGCATTTATATTTTTGTTCAGTGTATATTAATGCTGCCCATTATGGGCACAAGCAATTTTCACCCATTTATTAATGATATGTTTTAAATGTGAGTGTTTCGTATCCCCTAAACCTCCAGGGATGTACACAGTTTAATAATGGCAACTACTTATTATGGGAAATACGAAAACGTCTTTTAAAACTACAATTCCCAGCAGAGACGTGCCATAGAGCATGTTGCGAAACACACAATAGCCAGCGTGTGTAGTTCTGGGGACGGGTTGGGGGAGGGGGGACAGGGTGGACCCGTTCAAATCCAGTTTTGCACAGTCTGCCGTGGTTCCATCCCATTTCAAGTGCTGTTCGACGCTCGGCGTAACCCTCGGCGCACACTCAAACATCCAATCACAGAGCTTGAGGACTATCAAGGGGTTTGTCAAGCGAAGCGGAGAGAATACTTAGCCTACTTCCGGGTGTAAAATTCTCTAAAAGCAACTAGGCTACTATGAGCTGCTCCGACCCTCGGGTCCTGACGGACTCCAACTTGTGTTTATTAATCAAACAAATAAATAAACACAAGGATAATTATGTGTTATTGTTGAGTAAATAACAGTGTGTGGTTTAGAAAATAATACAAAATTAGAAGGAAAACACGATGAAACAATACAGATTTCAGTATTCTGAGGCCCTACTCTCCCCATAACTGACGGCAACAAAAGTCCTACATTATTCAATTAAAATAAAGAAGTAACAACAAGTGTGGCTTGATATTGAGTTAGAAAAAGATTGATAAACGCTGTGAGAAAGGGTCTGCGGGTAGCATTCGCTCGCGATCTCAAGTCGTCTACAACATACGTTTAGGGAGCTATATAGAAGCCTATGGACATTCCGGAAAGTTGAAAATGTACGCTAAGGGTGCACTGCCACTCCAACATCCAATCCCAGAGCTTGACGATTAATCACGGGACAGTAGTCCTAAACGATAGCTGGGGATTATGGGTAGTGTAGTGTCTTCGGCCATCTTAAACTCAGAAATGTCGCATTGACACCATATCCCTACATGCATTGCGGCTAAAACATCCAATCAGTGAGCTTAAACCATAGCTGAGGATCTTGGGTAATCAGTTCAGTGGCTGTGTATCGCAATGATGCTCGAAATGTCCCTTATAGGCCTACGTCTGTTTCCGGTTATTTTTATTTTGAAATTCAGTTCCTGACGGACGCCAAACAAGCCAGAGATTATGGAATTAAACAAATAAATAAAAACAAGGATAATTGTGTGTTATTGGTGAGTAAATAACAGTGTGTTATTTAGAAAAGAATAACAAATTAGAAGGAAAAAAGATTTAAGAAAATACAGATTTCAGTATTCTGAGGCTCTGAGCCATTTCTTTTCCTCACAGACGACAAAAAAAGTCCGACATTATACGATTTAAAATAAAAACAATAATCGTGGCTTGATATTGAGTAAGAACATGTTTTTATGAACCCCACAGCTTCCGGTCTTCCAAGACCCGAACGGACAAAAAGACGTGCTGCAGGCACGAAACATACCAATAGAAATACATTGCTTTTAAAATCGTTCTGTGTGACACGAAAAAAGGGGAAAATCCTGTTGGTGAACACGAATCAATAGATTAAATGTCGTGACTATAACACGAAATGCCGTGAGACTGGGTTGTCTCCTTAGCAACTGTCTGTTCTCCTTAGCAACTGTCTGTTCTCCAACTCTCTGTTCACCTTAGCAACAGTGTATTTTCCTTAGCAACAGTCTGTTAGCGAGAATTAACAACCTCTGGAATGTCCAAACTGACCAATCAGAATAAAGTATTCAACAAAGCCGTTTAATAAGTCTTATTATTAAATCGTGGGACTCTGTGTTAATATGTTATTATGGTAGTGCTTATGAGTTTTTAAAGGGTTAATCTACAATATTTGAGCAGATTATCGTTAAAGGCAGCATCAGAATATGTCGTTTGTAAAATATTAGTTAAAATTTGAATGTTGACATTTTCAGCAATATCCTCCTGGGACCCGAGGAAAAAAAGTGTCTTCCAATTTTTAACCCTATTGTTAAAAAAACATCTTGCAATTTAGACTTTTTTTATTTTATTTTAAAATGTTACGGTATGTCCACTGTAGAGGACGTCGGGACCATATTAGTTTGAAAAGACAGCCAAAATTAACAGATGGACTATGTAACGTATTATGGTTATAGAGTGATATTCATACAATAATACATTCACCTTTATTTAAAATATGAATAAGTAATTGATCTGAACATTGCTGTTTATTTGGTCAATACAAAACTAGCTTGTTTTGTTGGTGAATCTTTCCAGATCTTCAAAGACTTTGTAGTCAATGTACTGGGAAAGTACCTCATTGGACTCCAGTCAGCACGGGCTGTAGGGTCATCTTGACTAGTTTTATGGATGTGGTCTCCATTTGACCTGCTCATAGAAACAAAGCTTGCATTCCCGAGGCAACTCTAATTTTTCATGGCTCCACTTAAAATAAAAACAACAATAAGACATACGTGCTACTCTTGGCCCACAGGGGGCCATGTCTTTCCAGCTCGTCCCTATCTGTATCTATGTATCTATCTGTGCGCTCGTGGAGCATCCTGCATCTTTCCCCCCCTTCTTCTTGACCCTCTTCTATCCCAGGTGTGAAATTCTCATCTCTCTCATCATCTGAGAGCTCAACATCTTAATCTCCCTGAACCTTCTGGTACAGAAAATGTCTGCTTCAGTTCCGTCTTCTGCAACAATATTGAGTCATAAAGTCCATGAAGATAGTCCTGACGTCCACTAGAATGGACATTTATAAAAGGCCTGTTATTTGAAAACTTGAATTATTTAATTGCTTTCAGAACTAATTATATAGTTCCTCACATGTTAATAAACAAGAACATATATGATTTTCATGGTAAAAATTACAATTATTCAACAATATTTGACTTCTCCTACTGCTTCTATTCAATTTTGTTTTTCGTATGCCAGCCATTTGGATGAAAAGAAAGAGGAACTTCCCAGAATGCAATTTTAACCAATGACATCTCACTGGAAAGACCAGGATGTCCTCTGTACAGTACATCAGGGATTGATAGAGTAGCTCAAAAGAGTAAAAGGAGATGCATGTTAACAACATTTTCAATGGGCTGGGTCCCAGGAGGGTATGGCAGTAGTAAGAGTCAGTCTCTGTTTAACTATCAGTGAATCATTCATGCACAAACAGGGTCAAATATCACAAGCATGACTGTGCAGAAAAATGTTAATACTTGGAAACCAATGAGCTGCTATAAAAGGCTGAGCAGCTGAGGCTCAGTCGTAGGTTGCTTTCCCGTTAGCTTCGTTAGCATCGTTAGCATGGTTAGCATCATGTGTCTCCGAGGTCTCCTGCTGGTATCCGGGCTGTTTCTGAGCAGCTGGGCTCTGACTCCTGAAGAATGCCAGCCCTTGGTGATGCCTCTTTCTCTGGCTGACCCCTCCATGGTAAGACCCCCCTCTGGTTCCTTTATTCACCGTTAGTCACTGAAAGAAGAATACTCAGAACCTTAACTTAATATGGTCTTAAAATACTCCACTAAAAGTAAAAGTGCAAAAGTATGAGTATCAAAATATACTTCACTTACATTATTTCAGAATAATATAAAGTGCAGAATAATTTCACTTTATCTCAACAGTAATATTATTGAGGTTATTTTATTATCCAGCTTTTATACCGCTATTTTAGTTTTGTAGTTTTCTCAATGCGGACCAACTTTATATACTTTAAATACTGTATAGCTTAGTAGTACAGTACTGCATTATACTATATCAGCATATTTGTATATGTATACATGGCCGTATCCACCATTGAGGTCACCGAGGTCCGGACCTCGGTAATTTTTTTCGAGCTGTGTATATAACTAAACGTTCTTTGTAGTACTTCCATTTACTGACGATGGGGGCGCTGCATAAGTACGTAGCCTCGGGAAAAGCAAACAGAAGAAGACGACATGTATCAACACACCACCGCAGCCCGGACTTGTACCGGAGCAGCGAAGGAGTGATGAAGTATCTAGAGATCTGAGTCTAGCGGGCTGCTTGTGTTTCTGCTCATCAGGACATCATATGAGCAGCAGATCCTGTGTGAACGCTATACGTTAGTCAGTGGACGTCCGACAACATGCACACTAACTTATATTGCAGATATAGGCTATACTTTGGTTTACATTGCATGAATAAACTAGCTAGAGAGCTAAAGTTAATTACATTCATCCAATGTCAAAAGGATTATCTTTTAACAAACGTTGTAATGCTTTTCTTTCATTTCAATTTGAGTAAAACATTGGAGATATAACATTGTGTTGTTTTCTTTTTACACTGACTCAGATATGATGAAAATACTACGTCAGTCGAAGCTCAGCTTTGGTAATGAAGAGAGAGAGAGAGAGAGAGAGAGAGAGAGAGAGAGAGAGAGAGAGAGAGAGAGAGGAGAGAGAGAGATAGAGAGAGAGAGAGGAGATAGAGAGAGAGAGAGAGAGAGAGAGAGAGAGAGAGAGAGAGAGAGAGAGAGAGAGAGAGAGAGAGAGAGAGAGAGAGAGAGAGGAGAGAGAGAGAGAGATAGAGAGAGAGAGAGAGAGAGAGAGATGGAAGTCAGGGAGGATACATCTATCTATCTATACATCTATAACAATAGTCTTCATTTACAATAGGCATAATTGTAAAACAACATACATCTATTGCAGTGATGATGTCATAATAACATACAATTGTATAAAACACAATTTGCTTACATCTTTGTTCTCTTTTGAGAATCAAACAAAACAGATTTTAAAAAAAAAGAATGCAAACAAACAAGTGAAATGAACTAAATGTCTGAATTGCTTTTAATTCACTGGCTGGAGCGACAAGTGAGGAGGAGCAAAAAGTGAACAACGAGGGAGAGGTTGAACAAAGAGAAAGAGTAGAGGACAGAGAGAGTAATGAACAGGAAGAAGACAGAGAGACTCAAGAAGATGGAAGAGAGGGTGCAGTTGACAATGTTTTGTGATCATTTTAGCCTCTTCTGCATGTCCAGATCATTAATAGTAATCAACTGATTCTTATGCATTACACCTTCAAAAATAATTGATGCTGACATTGTCAGCCCACTGACATGGTTTGAAATCAATATATTATCCAATGTGTGACCCCCCATAGGACTTAAAAAGCACCTAACTAGATCATGAAAATCCCAAAAAATCTTGGGGGGTATCCCCCGAACCCCCCTAACATATTTGGACCTCGGTATTTAGGAAATCCTGGATACGGCCCTGTATGTACAGTAGAAGTATAAAGTAGCATTAAATTGAAGTATCAAGTAAAGTACAAATATGTCGAAACAGCACTTAAGTACAAAATGTACTTGCAGTGGTGTGTTACTTTCCAGCTGTTACACTACAGCTGGTTAAACACGACACTTCAGTGGATTCTAGGGACAATTATTATTTGTATTTCAAGTTTTCAGAAATGTTTTTTAAAATGTTCAATGTGCAAAACTGTGAATAAAACTAAAACGGAGCTCAGCTTTTATTTCTGCTTTCTAAACTGTAGTATGTGTTCATGTGTTTCATTGTGTTTAGGCTACTGCCTGAATGTGCTGAATGCAGGTTGATGAAATATTCCCATTAATGTCTTTGTATTGCATTTTATATTCAGGTAAAGTGATCAAATTAATTTTATATTGTGACACTTTTACAGATAACTAGTAACAGGTTATTAACTAAAGTTACCCTCCCAACCCTGGTAATAATTTAAACACTTATGCACAATAAAAAATAAAATAAATGTTTCTCACAACACAAGGAACATCTATTGCAGAGGATCAGGGCCTGATGTGATCTTTATTATTTATTTTTCAGAATTCCAACTTTTTCGATACATTTTTAGTTTGAACCATACAAAAAAATGCACTGTTGGTCAAACCTCAAAAAGGTTCACATGTGGCCGTGTGTGTGTGTGTGTGTGTGTGTGTGTGTGTGTGTGTGTGTGTGTGTGTGTGTGTGTGTGTGTGTGCGCGTGCGTGCGTGTGGCCTGCATTACTATACTTGTGGGGACCTAAATCTGTTTCCACAGTCACGTGTGGGGACTCGCCTGTCCTCCAACTCACAAATTGGAGGTCCCCATAAGGGGAATCATTCATTTTAGGGTGAAGACTTGGTTAGGTTAAGGTTAAGGTTAAGGGTTAGGGTAAGGGTTAGGGTAAGGGTTAGGCATGTGTTGGTTATGGTTAAGGTTAGGATAAGTCTCCAGGAAATGCATGTAAGTCAATGTAATGTCCCCTGAAGTGATGTATACATGGTGTGTGTGTGTGTGTGTGTGTGTGTGTGTGTGTGTGTGTGTGTGTGTGTGTGTGTGTGTGTGTGTGTGTGTGTGTGTGGTGTGTGTGTGTGTGTGTGTGTGTGTGTGTGTGTATAGATGTACAACAGGTCCCACTTCCTGGTGGGTTACTCAGATAGTGCAGCGTTTGGCGCCATCCTGAAGCAGATGGAGAGCTCCTGGTGGAACATCAGCCCGTCTCCGTCCGACCCCAAGAGGATCGTTTTAGTCCACGAGGACAAACTGTGAGCATCTGCACTCATGCAAAATATAATAACAAATACCAGGAAAAACCAAGATCATTTACTATATTTATTATCATTTTAATTATATAGTATAATAGTTCTCTATCTGTGTTTTTAATTTTCGTTTTACTTTTATGTATGCACCAAGTCAAATTCCTCGTACGTGTCAACCTACCTGGTGATAAACCTGGTTCTGATTCTGCAGAACCCAATTCAATAGCTCTGCAGATGATACTCTGATTAATCAGTGAATCCTCTCCTGATTTGAAATACATCTCAGTTCTCGTGCTCTGAACACATCAAGTTTCTTCATATTGACATTCAGACCTTTATATATATACAGTCTATGATTTAGACCCAGCGATAAACTCACCTCCTCCTCTTTCTCCTCAGGAATGGTGTCTGCATGTCAACAACCGCCAACGTAACTATTGAGAGCGACACAGCCTCAGCGTCAGGTGAGTTTCACAATCTGACACTTCTTTTCGGCGACTGAAACTGCCAGAAGGAAAGACAAAGGTCCACAGGGCTCACATTTATAATACAAGTTAACTCGAGACCATAATAAATAAATGTAAAAAGTACAGTGCGATTTTAAAGTTATCCAAAGAGAAGCGATGTTAGCATGCTGACGGATCATTCAAATTCAAAGGTTTTATTGTCATATGCACATAGCTATGAGAGAAGTGGAGAAATGAGCTCCTTGCTGAGAATCTTGAATCTTTGATGTATCCCAGGTACTGTGTAATCAGGTATTCTCCTGTCTGTTTTCGCAAACTGAAAACTCATCTCTTTCGACTCCACTTCGAGCGTTATAACTATTAACGAAGCACTTTTATACTAATAAAGGACTGGCTTACCTAAAGCCAGTTGAGTAGCACTTGAAATGTTTGGCTCTATGAAACCTGATGTACTTATATGATTCTGTTTTCTTCAAGGTTGTGTCTTCCTGGTCGAATGTACTTATTGTAAGTCGCTTTGGATAAAAGCGTCAGCTAATGTAATGTAATGTAATGTTTTCAGTTGGGAACGTCTTCTCCACCACCTTCCACCTGCTGCCGGGCTGTGATGGATGTCTGGTCCTCAGCATGAACACCACGGTCAAAGACATGGACGCCGTGGTCAAGCTGCTGAAGCTCAACATCACGGTGACAGCGGAGGAGGTCAACCTGCGCTGCGTCTATCTGTTAGGTAGGAAGCATGACAGGAAATAATAATGTATTATTACTTAACCTATACCTAACCCCTGTCGTGGATCCGATGTAACACTCACAACATTAAAGAATAAGACGAAGAGAAATCAATAAAACACAGACACAGAGATGGTTGAAGTCAAATATTATATTCAAATCAAATCAAGTTTTATTTATATAGCACATTTATAAACGATTTTTGGTGGAGCCAAAGTGCTGTACATATAATAAAAATAGCCTATAGAGACACTTTATCGTACAAGGAAACACTTCCAGAGAAAAACCCACAGTTTAAAGGGAAAATGGGAGAAACCTCAGGGAGAGCAACAGAGGAGGGATCCCTCTCCTAGGACGGACAGACGTGCAATAGATGCCGTGTGTAAATCGAAGAGATAATACATTTTACAGCGTAGGTAGACCAAATGTTTGGAAATGCATGTGTCTGTAATAATAAGATGAATCCATTGAAAATTGAGATTTTCAAGGACTGGATGGAGGAAATATTCTCAAAAGTGATTCATAAAACAGTTTTCATTTGTGGTGACTTCAATATTGACCTTCTAAATCCAAATAATCACAGCCTGACAGAATAATTTATCAACACAATGTACAGTATGAGTTTATATCCAAAAATGACTAGACCCAGCAGAATCACATCGCACTGTGCTACTCTCATAGACAATATATTCACAAATGACATAGAAAACAATACAGTAAGTGGACTCTTAATAAATGATATAAGTGACCACCTACCAGTATTTGCAGTTTATGACAGAAACTACAGTAACAACATGCCGGACAAGCTATTCAATACAGACGAGTTAGATCAGAGGAAGCAATGAACGCTTTAAAAAATGCCTTACTGGCACAAATTATTTATACAAAGAAAATAATATTGACAGTGCATATGATCAATTCCTGAGAATTTGTGTATCATTATATAATACATACTGCCCAATTGTCAAATACAGTAGAAAAATGAAATATGTAGAAAGTCCATGGATCACAAGGGGTTTACAAAATGCCTGTAAAAAGAAAAATTCATTGTATAGAGATTTCATGCGAAATAAAACAAAAGAGACAGAGATTAGATATAAAAAATATACAAATAAATTAACAATTATAATAAGGACCTGCAAAAGTGAACACTATCGGAAAATACTAGACAAAAAAAAACAACATTAAAGGAATATGGAGCATACTGAATAGTATTATAACAAATGGGTCGAGAAAAAGGGGTTATCCCACATACTTCATTGACAAGGATAAGGAAGAGGAAAATATGGATGTTGTATCCAACAATTTCAATGATTTCTTTGTAAATGTTGGACCTGAATTAGCAGGCAAATCCCTGATGGAGGAACATCAGAAAAAAAGCTGGAAAACTTAATAAAACGTAATCCTTTCTCAATGTTCCTCACAGCAGTGCATGAAAGGGAAGTAGTTGATATTGTAACGAAATGTAAAAACAAAAAATCTACCGATTGTGACGACATTGACATGACTGTATTAAAAAAAGTTAGATGTTATTTCAAAACCATTCACACACATATGTAACTTATCATTCCAAACTGGTGCATTTCCTAACAAAATGAAAATAGCAAAAGTCATACCTTTGTTCAAAGCTGGGAACAAACTTCACAAACTACAGACCTGTCTCACTTCGACCACAATTCTCAAAAATTCTTGAAAAGCTTTTCAATAACAGACAATTTCATAGAAAAACACAAACTTCTCACCGAAAGTCAACACGGATTCAGAGCCAATAGATCAACATCGATGGCTTTAATAGACTCACTTGAAGAAATTACTAGCTCAATTAACCAAAAGAAACATGCCATTGGAATATTCATTGACCTAAAAAAAGCATTTGACACAATTAATCATGACATATTAATAAAGAAACTGGAACGTTATGGAATCAGGGGTGTAGTTTTGGAATGGGTAAGGAGTTATTTAACCAACAGGCAACAGTTTGTGAAGCTGGGAGAGTGTTGTTCTTCATATTTGGACATTACATGCGGTGTCCCCCAGGGGTCAGTATTGGGGCCGAAACTATTTATTATGTATATTAATGACATATGCAATGTATCGACAGTACTCAAGGTTGTTTTGTTTGCTGATGACACTAACATATTTTGTTCTGGGGACAATGTACAGCTCCTACTGGAAGAGATCACAGCTGAAATATGCAAACTAAAGTTATGGCTAAACAGTAATAAGTTATCATTAAACTTGAATAAAACAACATTAATCATATTTGGACATAGCAATACACTAGCATCCATTAAGATAGATGGGATTTTCATTGAGAGTTAAAGAACATAAATTCCTTGGAATCACAATTGATGAGAAACTGAGCTGGAAACCACACATAAAACATATTCATTCCAAAGTCTCAAGAAGTATTGCAATATTAAACAAGGCAAAACAGATTCTTGATCAAAGTTCCCTCTACATTCTTTACTGTTCATTGGTGTTACCTTATTTAAGTTACTGTGCAGAGGTTTGGGGCAGTAATTATAAAACTACAACACAATCCCTATTTATTCTACAAAAAAGAGCAATAAGACTTATTAAAAATGTCGGCTATAGGGATCATACAAACCCATTATTCTTAGAGCTACAATTATTAAAACTGTCAGATCTTGTTGAATTCCAAATTGCACAAATCATGTTTAAGGCAAAAAACGTTCAATTACCTGGAATATTCAGATATTGTTCAATGAAAGACAAGGGAATTATTATTTACGTGGTTCATTTATATTCACTAATGTTAGGGTGCGCACAACAAAGAAGTTTTTGTGTTTCTGTTAGTGGGGTGAAGATCTGGAACAATTTGAGTGAGGAGCTAAAGGGATGTCCAAACATAAAACTATTCAAAAAGAGGTATAAAGACTGCTGCCCCTCTACATATCCACTTACATATCACACAAACAGTACAGCTATAGACTAAGATCTCAACATTACATCACTCTGTCCGTCCCCTCAGTACGCACGGTGCTTGGGAAAAAAGCCATATCATACTCTGCCCCCTCGACCTGGAACACACTTCAGCAGGAACTTAAGCTGACCACTTTGATACCCATCACGGATTTTAAACTCATTTTAAAAAAGCTGGAGAAATCATCTGTGGGTGTTTGCACCTGCTATCTGACTGTATATGGATTTTAATGACTACTTTTTTACGATGTTGTATTTTAGTGTTGCCTCTGTGTTTAGTGTCCTGTCTGTCTGTAACTTTGTGTGGTAGTGTTACCACTGACAGGTCTCTCTTGAAAATGAGACCTTGTGTCTCAATGAGATCTACACCTGTATAAATAAAGGCTAAATAAAAGACACAATTCTCACAAGGTACAGGGATGACATCGCTAAACCATAACTGTTTATATTCTTGTTTTGTATTCTATTTATGAATTTGTGTTTGTATGAATTTGTGTATGTACATATGCATATATATATAAATATATAGAGACCATTCTCCTAACTTGCCTGTATATATTATATGAATGATTATATAAATTATTCAAGATTATAAGTATACATTGATATTGTATGTTAACATATATTAAGATGAAAAGAAAAGGGAGAAGGGGTCGTATTCAATAAGTGTAAACTTCTTCCGACCCCTTTTCGGACGTGTAATTAGCTAAAGCTTTGTTGTTTATTGATATCAGACAATGATACTACAGATTATTCAATTATTAATTAAATATTTCGTTTTGTTATTGCATTCATTTGTATAGTACTGTATCATGTCTGTATCACCTTTTGTTTCATTTGTATTTTCTTTGGTTTTACACGCTCGAAAAAAATAAATAAACTAAACTAATCCACGAAGATGTCAGCTACAATCCTGTGGGAGCCTTCAGGGAAGCAAGATGACGAGACCCAGGCAGGACCGCAGAGACAGGTTCAGCCACGACCCGAAGTCCACGACTTAATCCAGAACTCAGGATAGAGGATCCAAGACACAGGACTACAGCAAGAGGATCAGCCTCGACTCCGGATCCCGGCGTGGATATAGACACAAAACAAGAAAAAAGATTTGGCTGGGTTAATCGGAACAACAGACACAGACAGACAGACGGAAGAACAAGCACTCCCTTAGAATAGGTTGAGGGCAAAGTGAGAGAGTAGGAAACATAGGTGGAGAGGCACACTCAGGGAACAAGGTCCCCACTGGAGCCTTAGTTGGAAATTGATGAGAGATAGGGAGGTACGCTGTGTCTACGAATCGTAACACTCCCCGGCCTGTCTAAGCCACTCTACAAACCGTTTCCCTCTAATAAAACCTCGAGAGGTTAGAGAGGGAAAAGGTCTTGGATAAAAGTTTTTCTTGATAAGAGAAGCCTAGAAAGCCAGAGAGAAAAAGTGAGTTTTAAGTGTTGATTTAAAACCCCCCAGGGTCTGGGCCGATCTCACATGGAGGGGCAAAGTATTCCAGAGCCTAGGGCCAGCCGCTGCGAATGCTCAGTGCCCTCGGGTTTTGAGCCTGGTCTTAGGCACTATCAACAGCAGCTGATCAGCCGACCTTAAGGCTCTGCCTGGGGTGTAGCGATGGAGGAGTTAGGCTACATAGGCCGGAGCCAGCCCATTTAGGGCTTTAAAAACAAATAAAAGGAGTTTAAAATCTATTCTGAACCGAACTGGAAGCCAGTGCAATATTGCTGTACAGCACTATAGAGACAGATTACCTTGCATCAAAGCAGTCTATAGTGTAATGTCCCTTTAGACCAAGAGAATCTTACAGCTTATACACCTGATAGATAAATAGATAGATAGATGGATAGATTACTCTTGACTTAAAAGTACTTAATCATGCTTGTTTTAAAAACTTAATAAAAGTAGAAGTCATGCTGAAATCCTTTCCTAAAGTCAGGTATTAAAGCGTCTCTGTGTTTCTGTCTGCAGGCAGAGAGGCGACCTTGAAGGACTCAGACTTTGAAGATTTCAAGAAGCAGGCGAGCTGCCTCGGGTTCTCCGGAGAACCACAGTTCATCTACGACTCCAAGAACGGTGCTTTAAAATCACCTGATTAAACGATGAAACAGAGATTCCACAGATAACTGATCTCACTGCTTCTCTCTCTGTCTGCAGGATTCTGCGCTGAAGGCGAGAGCGTTAAGATTGAACTGAATTTCGACGGTGATGAATAAGTGAAGATGAGGAATTAAAGAGAAGTGACTCAAAACATCAAACGTGTGGTTTTATTTATTATCTAATGAGAAGGTTTTCAAACTGTGGAGGGAAGGTATTTTAACAGTGTGAGACGACTAAACGTCATCACGCCCAACATTAGCCACCTTTAGCTTAGCGGTGGTGACGTGAAGTCATGTGACCGTGCCGTAGTTCCTTTATAGCCCAACATTAGCCACCTTTTAGCTTAGCGGTGGTGACGTGAAGTCATGTGACCGTGCTGTAGTTCCTTTATAGCCCAACATTAGCCACCTTTAGCTTAGCGGTGGTGACGTGAAGTCATGTGACCGTGCTGTAGTCGCTTTATAGCCCAACATTAGCCACCTTTAGCTTAGCGGTGGTGACGTGAAGTCATGTGACCGTGCTGTAGTTCCTTTATAGTCCAACATTAGCCGCCTTTAGCTTAGCGGTGGTGATGTGAAATCATGTGACCGTGCTGTAGTTCCTTTATAGTCCAACATTAGCCTCCTTTAGCTTAGCGGTGATGACGTGAAGTCCTGTGACCGTGCTGTAGTTCCTTTATAGTCCAACATTAGCCTCCTTTAGCTTAGCGGTGGTGACGTGAAGTCATGTGACCGTGCTGTAGTTCCTTTATAGTCCAACATTAGCCGCCTTTAGCTTAGCGGTGGTGACGTGAAGTCATGTGACCGTGCTGTAGTTCCTTTATAGTCCAACATTAGCCTCCTTTAGCTTAGCGGTGATGACGTGAAGTCCTGTGACCGTGCTGTAGTTCCTTTATAGCCCAACATTAGCCACCTTTAGCTTAGCGGTGGTGACGTGAAGTCATGTGACCGTGCCGTAGTTCCTTTATAGCCCAACATTAGCCACCTTTAGCTTAGCGGTGGTGACGTGAAGTCATGTGACCGTGCCGTAGTTCCTTTATAGCCCAACATTAGCCACCTTTAGCTTAGCGGTGGTGACGTGAAGTCATGTGACCGTGCCGTAGTTCCTTTATAGCCCAACATTAGCCACCTTTAGCTTAGCGGTGGTGACATGAAGTCATGTGACCGTGCCGTAGTTCCTTTATAGCCCAACATTAGCCACCTTTAGCTTAGCGGTAGTGACGTGAAGCCATGTGACCGTGCCGTAGTTCCTTTATAGCCCAACATTAGCCACCTTTAGCTTAGCGGTGGTGACGTGAAGTCATGTGACCGTGCCGTAGTTCCTTTATAGCCCAACATTAGCAACCTTTAGCTTAGCGGTGGTGACGTGAAGTCATGTGCCGTGCCGTAGTTATCCTTTATAGCCCAACATTAGCCACCTTTAGCTTAGCGGTGATGACGTGAAGTCATGTGACCGTGCTGTAGTTCCTTTATAGCCCAACATTAGCCACCTTTAGCTTAGTGGTGGTGACTAGAAGTCATGTGACCGTGCTGTAGTTCCTTTATAATCCAACATTAGCCACCTTTAGCTTAGCGGTGGTGACGTGAAGTCATGTGACCGTGCTGTAGTTCCTTTATAGCCCAACATTAGCCACCTTTAGCTAAGCGGTGGTGACGTGAAGTCATGTGACCGTGCGGTAGTCGCTTTATAGCCCAACATTAGCCACCTTTAGCTTAGCGGTGGTGACGTGAAGTCATGTGACCGTGCTGTAGTCGCTTTATAGCCCAACATTAGCCACCTTTAGCTTAGCGGTGGTGACGTGAAGTCATGTGACCATGCTGTAGTTCCTTTATAGTCCAACATTAGCCACCTTTAGCTTAGCGGTGGTGACGTGAAGTCATGTGACCGTGCCGTAGTTCCTTTATAGTCCAACATTAGCCTCCTTTAGCTTAGCGGTGATGACGTGAAGTCCCTGTCACCGTGCTGTAGTTCCTTTATAGGTCCAACATTAGCCTCCTTTAGCTTAGCGGTGATGACGTGAAGTCCTGTGACCGTGCTGTAGTTCCTTTATAGTCCAACATTAGCCTCCTTTAGCTTAGCGGTGGTGACGTGAAGTAATGTGACCGTGCTGTAGTTCCTGTATAGTCCAACATTAGCCGCCTTTAGCTTAGCGGTGGGTGACGTGAAGTCATGTGACCGTGCTGTAGTTCCTTTATAGTCCAACATTAGCCTCCTTTAGCTTAGCGGTGATGACGTGAAGTCCTGTGACCGTGCTGTAGTTCCTTTATAGCCCAACATTAGCCACCTTTAGCTTAGCGGTGGTGACGTGAAGTCATGTGACCGTGCCGTAGTTCCTTTATAGCTCAACATTAGCCACCTTTAGCTTAGCGGTGGTGACGTGAAGTCATGTGACCGTGCTGTAGTTCCTTTATTGCCCAACATTAGCCACCTTTAGCTTAGCGGTGGTGACGTGAAGTCATGTGGACCGTGCCGTAGTTCCTTTATAGCCCAAACATTAGCCACCTTTAGCTTAGCGGTGGTGACGTGAAGTCATGTGACCGTGCGTAGTTCCTTTATAGCCCAACATTAGCCACCTTTAGCTTAGCGGTGGTGACGTGAAGTCATGTGACCGTGCCGTAGTTCCTTTATAGCCCAACATTAGCCACCTTTAGCTTAGCGGTGGTGACGTGAAGTCATGTGACCGTGCCGTAGTTCCTTTATAGCCCCAACATTATCCACCTTTAGCTTAGCGGTGGTGACGTGAAGGCATGTGACCGTGCCGTAGTTCCTTTATAAGCCCAACATTAGCCACCTTTAGCTTAGCGGTGGTGACGTGAAGTCATGTGACCGTGCCGTAGTTCCTGTTATAGCCCCACATTAAGCCACCTTTATGCTTAGCGGTGATGACGTGAAGTCATGTGACCGTGCTTGTAGTGTCCTTATTAGCCCAACAGTAGCCAACTTTATGCCTTAGGCGGTGGTGACCGCAAAAGAGTTTCCCCCATGTGACCCGTGCTGTAGGTTCCTTTATAGCCCAACATTAGCCACCTTTAGGCTTAGTGCGGTGGTGACGTGAAGTCATGTGACCGTGATGTAGTTCCTTTATAGCCCAACATTAGCCCCCTTTAGCTTAGCGGTGGTGACGTGAAGTCATGTGACCGGCTGTAGTCGCTTTATAGCCCAACATTAGCCGCCTTTAGCTTAGCGGTGGTGACGTGAAATCATGTGACCGTGCTTGTAGTTCCTTTATAGTCAACATTAGCATCCTTTAGCTTAGCGGTGATGACGTGAAGTCCTGTGACGTGCTGTAGTTCCTTTATAGTCAACTTGCCGCCTTTAGCTTAGCGGTGGTGACGTGAAGTCATGTGACCGTGCTGTAGTTCCTTTATAGTCCAACATTAGCCGCCTTTAGCTTAGCGGTGGTGACGTGAAGTCATGTGACCGTGCTGTAGTTCCTTTATAGCCCAACATTAGCCACCTTTAGCTTAGCGGTGGTGACGTGAAGTCATGTGACCGTGCTGTAGTTGCTCAACTTTGCTCCAATTTCTCTACCTTTCTCCTCTTCAGTAGCACGTACACACACCAAACTGTCCACTCTTCATATTTTGTACACACACACATTCACACACAGACATTCACACACACATTAGCACTGAGTTTATTAAGAAATCTGCACTTTAGTAGCACTGAAAAACCGTCCCACAGTCAGATTATTCTGGAAACGTTTGGTCTGGTTTGCCTCTCATTGTGTGTGTTTGTGTGTTTGTTTGTCAGTGTGTGTGGGCGGACGTTGGTGTCCTTTAGACTTTAACCGGCAGCTTTCAACACCAATGTTTTTATAGTGAGATATTTTAACGTTGCTTAATCCTTCTATTAATCCATTTATTCCACGAGATAGTTAAACACTAGAAGATGTTAATAAGTTAATAAATTCGTACAATAAATTGAGGTACTACAAAACATGTGCGCTGCAAAAATATCTACATCAACTTTGACATTTATAAACATACTTTTATCAACATAAAAATATGATATTGTTTGCTTTAGTGTTTAACATAATAAAGAAGCGAAACACAGCTTATGTTAGGCTCTACAACCACCATGGCCACTGATAGACTATAATAATAATATATATGATATGTTTTATAATTATCGATGCATTAAAGTGAATACTCTGTTACAGTAAAAGTCCTGCATTCAAAATGTCCCTCAAGTGAAAGTATAAAAGTATTATCATCAAAATATAGTGAAAGTAGCGACAGTAAAAGTAGTCGTTGTGCAGATTGGTCCATTTCAGAATAATATATATGATATGTTTTATAATGATTGATCATGAAAGTGTTCTCAAAGCTGGTGAAGGTGCAGCTAGTTGTAATGACTTTGTATACTGCAGGGTAGCTGGTGGATTTACTCCAGGTGGAGCTAAAGTCTGATTCAACACTTGATTATATTTCACATCATTCATCCACATCTGTGAAGTAACTAAAGGTATTAAATACATGTAGTGGAGGAAAAGTACACCATGTACCTCTGAACTATAGTGGAGTAGAAGTACTTTATTCACCTCTGAATTTTTTTCCATTGGTATTTTCTTACCCATAGTTTGAATAACTCTGTGAAACTCCCTCCATCTGTCGCACGACCACACACACACACACACACACACACACACACACACACACACACACACACACACACACACAGCTTTTTGCACTCTTATAATCGCCAGCTGAAGGATCAGTTACGGCCCCCCCTCCTCCCCCAGTACCCTTAAATAACCCCCTACTGGGTCCATGTCAACCAACACCCCCTCAGATACCACATGCTGTAGAAACACAGCATACTCCAAACAAAATATGGTGGGATTAGTAAGGGTTGATATTAAGGGTAATTAGTAGGTTATTTTAAATTATTATTATCCATGTTATTATTTGTCATTTCTTTATTATTAATATTACTTTGTATTTATTCATGTACCTATATTTACTGTATATACCTGACCTCAAACCAATCCACCCTTTACATTTCCTAACATTGGATTTATTCAAGTCAAATTTAAACTCTTTCCACACACAGTCACACCCTTCTGTAAAACCGTCTGATTCTTTATTAAACTGGTATTCTGTTGAAATGATGAGCTGCAGATGACATCACTCCGTCACACACTTTCTGTTCCCTT